ATGCGATCCCCCCCCCCCCTAAAAGCGAAGTCTTCGATGTTATGCAAGGGCTAGACAGCCACAAGGCACCCGAAGAATACGGTATATACGCCGAAATCTACAAGTCTTGTGTCGACACTCTGGCGCCCTGGCTCCGTGAATTGGCTGCACAAGCGTGGAGAGACGGGGTTGCTCCTGGTGACTGGGACTCAAGCATCCTTGTACCTGTCCTCAAGAAGGGAGACAAAATAATATGCGACAACTACCATGGCATAAGCCTCATCGATGTTGCTGCGAAGATCTTCGCTATTGTTCTGCTCAGGCGATTCCAGGCTGTGCGTGACACTAGGACGGGGCCCAATCAAGGCGGGATTTCGTGCTGGACGAGGATGTGCGGGCCAGGTATTCACATTGAGGTGCATTCTCGAATTCCTGAACAGCTACCAACAACTGGAGCCTGTTTTTGTTGACGTTGTCGCCGCGTCCGATTCCGTCCATCGTGAGTCCCTATGGCCGATAATGGCGCTAGATGGTGTAGCGCCAAAAATCATCGCCATGATCAAGACCTATTATCACTCCACCATCTCGCGAATCCTGGTCCGCAACAATCTTTCCAACCGTTTGGTATTCGGTCTGTCGTTCGCAGGGTTGTGTCCTGTCGCCCATTCTGCTCAACTACGCTATTGACTGGATTCTCGGGAGGACCCTACACGAAGTTGACGGTGTTGAATTTTCACCCAGCCACCGACTGACTGATCTCGACTATGCCGATGATATTACTTTACTTGCTTCAAATTTTGGTGATCTGCAGTTTATGGTGTCACGGGTGAGCGAGGTTGCTATGTCGGTTGGTTTATCCATAAACGTTGGGAAGACTAAAGTGTTTTCAAGCTGCATCCCTGAACAGATGGCACCTCTCGGGATTTATGGCTGTCAACTAGAAGTAGACAGTTTTAAATACCTCGGGGCGAGGCTGCTTCCGAGTGGCCAAAGTAAGGACTACAATGTCCCCCGAATCGATGTTGCTCGTCGAGTTTTTCAAGCTTTAGATTATGCCTATGGATCCGACGCGACCTCTCCATCGCCACTAAGATTTGCGTGTACCGTGAATCTGTCCAGTCTGTCCTCTTCTATGGTTGTGAATCCTGGACTGCGCGCATGAAGGACGATCGAAAACTGGCGGTATTTGACCGCCACTGCTTGAGGACCATCCTTTGAGTGACGTAATCCGCTTCATCTCAAATGAGACAGTCCGCACTCGCTGCAACAACATCACAAGGATAATCCAGGCCCTCCAAGAAAGTTGACTGAGATTGTTTGGGCAGGTTCTTCGTCGTCCACCTCACGAGCGCAGTGGTACTGCCCTCGACTCGGCACCTTTGCCCCGTTGGAGGCGTCGAAGACGGATTCCTCAAAACCTGGTTTGACACAGTTCGTCAAGACATGGAGGTGGTTCTTAGACCTTCGGTATTCGACCTCTATTATTGGCGAAGAGGAAGGGTTGAACTAGTCAGATCTGCTGCCGCGGATCGTCACGTGTGGAGAGGTACAGTTCGCGACATCATCAAGGCCGGTTAGATCAGGTATGATCGCAGACGTACCAAGTACATGTACCTGGGCATCTAGCTAGTGGTATTGTTAATCCAAGAATGCGGATTTATGTCTTTACATTTGTGAGGTACGAAGTCATTATAAGACAAGATTCAGACAGTATTCATTCGTACTCAGGGTGTGGTACAAAAATTTTAGGGTCAAGAATTGTAGAATTTATGATACGATTCCTTGGCGAACTTCATTAAAAGCAATAGGCTTCTTAATCCTACTGTATCGCAAGCCTGCTTCTAACGTCCATCGAGCTTTCTGGACAGTTGAAATTCGGAAAACAGACGATGAAAAAGAAGTAGATTGCATATGTGTGCGGGCATGTCGGGCTAACTCTGTGTTTGAGTCTCGGACCCTGAATGAGACCAACAAGCAGGGCGATAGCGGCTGCGGCCATGCGCTCGGACACGGCTTTGGCTACGCGTTGTCGAGAGGGCACCGCCTGGAAAGAAAAATGTGCGCTCTGAAAAGGATTCAACAGCTATAAGGGGTCTTCGACAAACCATCCTCAACCGCTCCAGCGAATTGGAAAACTTCCTTAACCGCCTTTGAGGTTCTACGCCACGACAGGAGCCGCTGTAGACACTGAATACCCAGCAAGACTATTTGGCTGCCCAACGGTGCCAGGGTCCTTTATGTCCAAAGCCGCGTTTTCTCGTGTCACGGTGTGCGAACAGTAAAAGCACTATGAATTGTAGACGGGGCGTAACTGCGTGGAGTAAAGTCTCGAAGTCAGACACACCAAGCGTCGCAAAAACATCTGCCCTCGAGCCACTGGACACTTATCATATCGGGTAATATTGTCAAATCTGTAAAGCAACCACGATATCGAAGAGCGGCTTAAGCAGTCCCGCGCGGTCTTGTGCGACTCAATTACAGCCTCTGCGACGAGCATGGGATGATCCGAAGAACTGAACCGGGAGTACGCGATACCTTAGTTTCGTCCTGCATGAAGATGCGAGCTATTGCTCGCGCGCGCGGAATATGCCAGCCACAAAAGACCCAACCGATGGTACCAAAGCTCGATGTTCCGAATTCGACTTGTCAGTCACGTCTCCAATGAGCAACTTGACAATAAAAGGGCAATACAACCGGATAGCTGCCACCTACGTCCTCGACGCAGACGGCTCTGTCATGCATTGAGCAGAATTGATGGCGAAATCGCCCGTCACGTCATCTCTAAATGCGAACTTAAATGGCGATGGCACCCAAGTTACTGACTGAGAACGGAGGAGGACCAGGTGAGAGCCGATCTCAAGCGTAATTCTGCCCCGTATTCACGGATTTTGCAGCTAACGCGTCAACTAGATAAAACCGGCGGGAGCCTAGAGTTGACTGAGCGCAATGGAAAACGATAATTTTAGATGGGGCAGGTCTCAGCAGGAAACTAGGTGCCGCACTTGTCAAGAAGTCTGTCATAAATAAAAGTATTGTATTAATCCATGATTGCTCATCGGTAAGGAAGGATCTGGTTAAAATAAGTTTCTAAACGCGTACACCTTCTTCCGATTAAAAATGACAGTCCGACTTCCTGCTTTTATCGACACCATTTTTCATTTCTAAACGACCAGTTTCTAACCGCCTCTAAGTAATTTGTGAAGATCCCAATTAACTGGAAAGAGTAACAATTTGCGATAGATTTTTACAGGTCATAATTCAATGTGCCAGGTAAACGTATGGAAAGGAAAACAACAAACAAGTTGCGTTTGATCAGGTGAGTAGGAGGATTGGTGTGTAATCACAGTAGGTTAGGTGGACCATCACAAAAATACGCGTAATACAACGGTGGAAACCACACACAAGAATCACGTTATCCCACGCATGATTGTTAGAAAGACTGGGGCTCTAAGGGGTAGTTGAACACAATTAGGATAAGCCTAGGTTGCGGAAGGGAAGTCCATACACTGGCGACACTTTGATCCAATATTTTGGATTTCGCGAACCAGAGTCGCGACATCTTCGTCCGACAAACCTGCATCGCCACGAGCGCGAGCTAGAATCTCGTCTTTCAGACAGACCAAACTGTCACCGGCTTTGGAAATCTGTAATTCTTTTAGAGCACTAGGGAAAGTGGTCTTAAGCTCTGAATGAGGGGCCTTAAGTTTGGTTCTAATCCAAGTGGACAACTGGGGCACAAGTTTTCCGTGGATAGGAAGGGGCCAGCCGACAATGCACTGTCCAAAAAGACCAGCTGCCGCCAGAGCTACATTGGCGAGGTTTGAGAACAACGGGTTGGTACTAGCTTCATTTGCGGCAGCAGTTAGTTGCTGCTCAATCTGAGTGGCTAGGTTTAGGGCAATAATTTTGTCTTCGCGTTTTCGCTTGCTGCCAGCCAGCGGACAACGCAGCACAGCAACGGAGAGGTTAACACCTAGATGATTAACAGCAAGATCATCACAGAGGATAAATATCTCATCCAGTGGCAGTCCACTGCCACCCAGGTCAGGAAGTTCTGCATTAGGACGGAGACAGGCGTTTAACCTTTGTAGCAAATCAGCTGCATCTCGGGTAGGCCCTACAGATGACAATTTGTGGAGCGCTTGGTAGAGATTTTCTCGGTCAGTCCCCGTTATGTCAGTAGGAGAATCGATGGGGGTTGGCGCGGGCTCGGCAACTGCAGGAACATGATCCGGGTCTGCTCGCTCGGATTGATCTTCACTGTCGTCGTCAGCATGATAAGATGTCTTCTTGGTTTTGCGTCTCTGTTTAGACGTGCCGTGAGCAGGGGTTGTAGGAACCTGCTTTACCGGTTTCATTTGGACAGTAGGCCATTCAACGTCATATAACTGGGCCAGAAACACGCAGAGATGATTTACAAATGCCGAGACGTCAGTACGTATTAAGTGACGCAGCAATTTAAGGCGGATGTCTGGGTCATCAACTCCAATCGCTCCACGCTCCAAAAGCTAGAATGGACACAAAAACAACCCACCATAAAGTTGTAAAATGCATAAATTTCACCAACGGAAAGCGCTTAAAACATTCATAAAAATGTTTGGCTGCTATGACTATAACCACAACAGAGGCGTTAGCATCGTCAGAAAACTGTCGTGCTCTCCTGAAAATTGAGGCCGGTATCAGGGCTTCTGTTGGCAGACGGCGTTGAGCACAGCTAAACTAAGAACAAACGGCTGTCCTACTGTACAAATTTTACCCAGCCATGTAATCATTGAGGTCGACTGAACTAAGTTGTTTCAGCTGAAGGATGTGGGAGAAGTGAAGTTTTCGGCAAAGAACAGTCACCTGGTGTTAAAATCAAGGTCCGCAAACACCTTCCGAAGTAATTGTGGGTAAAATTAGCACACGTCACATCTGAATCACAAGGTTAGTGGTCGAACAAAATTATAAAGTGCATAACGTCCGATTTGTTATGTAGACGGAGCATGTCACTCATCTGATCCCAAGTATGAGTCCAGTCATTTAGACTGTCAACTATATGTTAGGTGAGTTTGAGCAGAACATTAAGTAGTAGCGGCAAGCACTTCAAATAAAACGTCGCTCTGATACTTGGTAACGCAAGACTGTCTCTCTTTTGGAAAACTACACAAAACTAAAAGCAAGTAAGCGACCAGCAGACCGAGGTGTACCTGAGACACTTTTTCCGCTCTGGTAAGGTAGTTAAATGAGCAGGCACTTCAAATTTGCGGGAAACCTACCTGGATTGACAAAATCGTTTGTGTCAAAAACTCTTTTTCGACCATGAAGCGATTTCGGTTCTTCGATGTGTCTGAATTCTGCAGCAAAATAGACTTCAACAAGCTCGCAAATTTAATATTAAGTTCGGGCAGCAAGGCGTCGAGAATTCCTTCAGCCAGGTTTTCGGGAGCTTCAGGCCCGAGACTGCACAACAGAATCGACAGAAGTTTTTCTTGGGATAGGTACCCCTCCAATGTAAGACTTGCATCCATGGAGTCAAGAGGAATTTCTTCCGGACATTCAGACTTTTTCATGTACTTCTTTTTAACGCTCTTCGTTTTTATCTCGCGTGCGCCGGTACCGAAGCCACCTGATTTACCTTTCTTTGATGTTGCTTTGGTTGCAACATCTTGAGCTGTAGGCAGAGAGGATGATGATTGTCTTTGTGAGGTTGGGGCCTGCTGCTTGGACGCTGTCTCTGCAGCCTCGCGGATAGAGTCGTCAAAAAGGACAGCATAGCCCTGGAGACGGTCCCGGGAGCAGAGAAAAGAGTAACCGCATAGAGGAACCAGATTTGTCTTGGCCAAAAGTGGAGAAACAAGCCATTCTCTTTCTTTGGGTCCAAAATGCTGGGGAAGGTAACTCATCACATCTATCCATGGGTTCTCATCCGCATCATCGGTAAGTACCGCCTTTAACTGAGATAGAAGAGTACTGTTAACGCAAACATCGCGTGAGTAAATAGCGCCTGGGAAGTTCTTGTGGAAATATGAAACTGGATCAGCTATTCCAAGACGTCTGGCGAGGTTACACTCAACAAAACCATTTTGCGAATAAAAGGATTTGAGGTAAGAGTCCTGAGCAACACTGAAACATCGCGGTGTATAAACACTCCGGCCAGCCGTAAGCGTACCTTGCAACTTGCCGTTGGAAATCAACGTATCGAGGATATCTGAAAGCAATTTTTGAGGGATTTCTAACTTGGGTGCTGCAGATGAGACAGGAATTGGTGTCAGGGCGGCGGAAAAGTACCCGAGAACCTTGGCCTTCTGTTTATTCAGGTAGGTGTCTGTGTAATACTTTTCATTATCCTTGTGGAGTCGAAAGAGCACACCGTTGTAGTCCGTAATTATGTTTCCGATAAAGTGTGGAGGGAAAGCAAACATACGCGATAGTTCTACCGTACTTATGACACCGCGTAATTCGAATCGATCCCTCAAATCCTCTGCTACACGCCTAATAAAGGCCCTTGTAACTAAATCATTGCCGACGAGAACGCAAGCGTCAGCTGGGGAGTCGATAGCCGATGAAGCCACAAGTTCTTGAACCCGTGTCTCGATTATCGATAATTCGACATCTAAATTGGCCGAGAGTTCCAGTAAGCTGACGTGTCCGCCATGCACCTCGAGCTCCTCTAAGATTTCTCTGTCAAGTTCTTTAATCGTAAGAAGACATCGGCCGTCGATAGAATGAATCAACCGCAGTCGTCCCGATGATGTAAGGTAGGAAACTATGTCGACGCATGTGCGTTCGGAAAGAAAGTTGGTGCTTTCTGACGCTTGGACTTTCTTCAGATATGCAGAGAGTTCTTTTATTTCGGCCCAGGTGGACATTTCAAAACACTGGTGCTCTAATCTGACCCTGACAAGCGTGTCTCAACGCGTCACAGAAGCAGTTGGTTTTGAACCTCGGTTAAACCAATCGGTGAATTGAAACAATACATAGATTCGGCGAACAAATTTACTGATACGCACATTTAGCAGGAAGCAAAATTCTGTTGTAAATATAGTTTCATAATGCACTTGGGGAAAGTGCTGTATGGCTTTTTACTGGTTAATCTTTGCTGGGGTCCAGTTATCAGTCTTGTTTGGAATGCTATTGAGGTACAGCCCAATTAGACCTATTGTAAGATCGAAATTCATCAGACGTCAGAAACTCCCTCTATTCAACCAGTACTTTAGAAATCTTGTTTCTTGAACACACGCGGTCGTTTATGACCTACTGCTATTGCTTAACCGCTCGGTCTACTCGTGTTGTATAACCGTAATGGTTCCATGTTCAAAATTAGGTTAACCTATTTTCGTCCCTAGCAAACTTTCCGACTGCAATGCTTCCGGACTTTCTTTCCAGGACTATACGAGTCTTGGTTCGCTAGTTTAGTTCTTTGCTAATGAGGTCTGTAATCGGCGGAAAATGAATGATAATTTTACTTGATATATAGTCCTAAGTACAAAGATCCAACTGAGGTCGCTTTGAACTTTATTGACTAATCCAGACTCAGCTATAAGAAAGCGGACGTACAACACATTCTCTCGAGTAGCACATTACGTTCATTTTGATTAAACTCCTCTACAGTCGAGGTTGACTCAACCTTAATTTGCCGTGAATTGACTTCTGATTAACTGAAAAGGGCAAAACCTTTCGTTTCGCCGCAACCTTACATGGATTGAGCACATGATTTTTCCTTTCTCCTTTGTTAGACTCCCATTTTCTTAACCTAGTTTACAGTAAAATGGTTATAATATTATTAACCTCGAGAAATCCGTTTACCGCCCTCCTGGGAAACCCGGTTCAATGCTATTTCCCGCATACCTTTTTGCTTAAGTCTTTCTTAACGACTTCGTCTGCTCCTAAGTCAGTAGCCCTGTCATTCGTTTCCGAATATCTCGCTAGCCCGCCTCTACTGCCAGCGGCCTGTTCTAAATCACTTAGTTAATAGTAGTGAAAATCCGATTCCCAGGTGGCATATTAAAAGAAGAGGGGGCGTTCACCGGGAGGGGTTTATTTGAGATCCGACGTTTCGGGTAGTTTATTCGTCTACCCATCTTCAGGGACTGGGAGGTCCTGTGCACAGCACTCCTTATTATGGCGCCCTTTGTCCAATGCGGCCTGTGTGGCTGCATCCAACCCGCATGTCACCGTGACCTGAATCGCCCCCGTCGGCCGCGGTGATGACTGACGGCCCCGATGGTCCCGCGCCGTGACTGTCCCCCGCTAAGAAGGTTCGTAAAGTCAGATAGGGGGGAGGCAAATTGATGTGGCGGTTGACAGAGCGGTCGGTGGACATCCAGGCTTCTTGCACTTGCCTTGCTGTGTGATCGCCGCCCCGGCCCACAATCTCAACGGCGTCAAAGTTGAAGATGTGTCCCATTTGCGCGGCATGGGTTGCTACCTCCGACTTTGGGTCCAACCTTCGCACGGCCAACTTATGCTCGTGCATTCGCGTTTGCAGCCGTCGGCCGGTTTCCCCAACGTAGTCGCAACTTCCGCAGCTGCATTGGAGTCGGTAGACAACGGCCGACATCTCCTGCTTAGGGATCGGATCTTTCGGCCGCATCACTTGCCGGCAGATTGTTAAGTCAGGCCCGTGGGCAACACCCATTCCGAGTGGCGCGAGTGATAGAGCCACGACTTCGGAGACCCCTTTAATGTACGGAATGCTCCGCCACGAGTTTGGCTGACTGTGCTCCTCGTTCCGTTTCTTTGGCTGCCTCCGGCTTCGTTCAATGGATGCCCGTGGATAGCCATTGGCTCTGAAAAGTTCTCGGAGGAGCTTTATCTCATTCAGTTTGGCGGCTGGCGTGCTGCAATGAGTTTCTACCCGTCGGTACAGCGTGCGGACTAGCTTCGTTTGTGTTGTGGCGGGTGGTTGCTGTTGTAGCTGAGAATTTGCAGCGTGTTCGTCGGTTTTCTCTAGACCGACGTCGCTAGTTCGCCATTTGGTTGGCGGCAGACGAGAACATCCAAGAATGGAAGTTTGTCCTCGACTTCCTCCTCCATCGTGAACTGTAGATCGGGCATGATTGAGTTCAGTACTTCCGCATAGTAGTTGATTTTATCCTGGTCTTTGATCACGAAGGTGTCATCAACGTAGCGTGCCCAAAACTTGGGTTTGTACTCCTCGAATAGTCGTCTCTCGAGTTTTTGTAGAACCGCCTCGGCAATGAGTCCGGAGATTGGTGAACCCATTGGTGTGCCCTTGATCTGCTCGTATGTGGTCCCTTCGAAGGTAAAGAATGTCTTGAGGCAGTGCCCCATGAGTTCTATGAGATCCTGAGCTGTGGGCTGGCCATCGCCCCCGTCGTAATTTTGACGTAGCAGGTCACTGAGCGTTTCGACCGCAAGGGTCTGTGGTATGGACGTGAAGAGTGAGACGACGTCAAAAGACACCATCCTTTCATTCGGTTCGATCGTGACTGCCCTTATTTTGTCAAGGAATTGTTCTGCTGAGTGCACCGTTGTTTGTGAGCCTGCAGTTAGGAATCTTAGCTTCTGAAATAGCCAGCTTGCAAGCCCGTATGTGGGTGTGCCTCGGAGCGAGACGATAGGACGGAGGGGAACATCTGGCTTGTGTACTTTTGGGAGGCCATAGAATCTCGCCATAGCGGTTTCTGCGGGCTTTGCCATATACCAGTCTTTGACGGTGATGACCTTGTCCTTTTATAGTCGAGCCAGAGTTCTGTTAACCTTTGCCACTAGGGACTTTTGACTGGCGGCGTCGCTGACTTTGTAGGACTCTCGATCGTTGAGGAGCAGGAGGGCTTTGCGTCGGTAGTCCACCTTGTCGAGGATGACGGTTGACCGGCCTTTGTCAGCAGGCAGAATAACTATTTCGGTGTCCGCTTTCAGCTCCCTTAGGGCCTTTTGTTCATCTCTTAGCAGGGCATGGGTTTTCCGGTGCGACATGAGAAGTGAGGAGACTTGATGTCGAAGGAGGTCCTTTACCTCGTCTGTGGCGCCGGTTTGACGAAGCACTGATTCGAAAGAAGCAATGAAGGTGACCGGGTCGGCGTCAGTTGTGTTAAAACCAGATCCACGTTGTAGAACTTTTGTTTGGGTCACAGTAAGTTGTTTTGACGAGAGGTTATGTACTATCGTTTGTTCGGTTTCCTGGTCTTGTGCGGTCTGCAGTGTCATGAACTTTATCGATAAATCCGCATCTCTGTTAGCACGTTTCTTTCGTCCCAATGCTAGTAATGTGTTCTCCAATGAGGCGGCAGTCGATTCCCCACACCGGCGTGTAACAAGTATCCGGTAGTTTTCAGCACTGTGTGCGTATTTCTTAAGTCGCAGGTGACAATCTTGTATGAGTACCCTTGTCATTCGCCGACTATGGCGGAACACCGTTTGTTTAGCCAATTCCGTGTTGACTGGAGGCTTGTAGGAGAGGCATTTTGGCATAACATAGTTGGCAAGGCATCTGGATCACGCATTGGACAAAGGGCGCCATAATAAGGAGTGCTGTGCACAGGACCTCTCAGTCCCCGAAGATGGGTAGACGAGTAAACTACCCGAAACGTCGGATCTCAAATAAACCCCTCCCGGTGAACGCCCACTCTTCTTTTGAAATCACTTAGTGTTGCAGCTTCGTGTTGTTCTGTACGCTATTCTGTCGAATATTCTGTGCTGGATTCAAAAACCAGACCCGACCTTATCTTTAGCAAAGGACAGCTTCTTATCAGCTAGGAAACCCCCACATCTCTCTGCATTTAACAAGCCTCTGCGATTAAGCTCATGTATGACCACCATGGGCACAGTCAGCCCATCAAGCCTTTTCTTCTTCGGCATACCTGGCACCAAATCAAACTCGATCTACCGATCTAACGCGAATCTCAACCACTCCTTTGACCTTTGTCTCACTTCAGATTTCTTACCACTGAGGCCGCACAGCCGTCTGTCTACTATCAAAATCCACAGTCTTTCCTCTAACCCCCACACTTTTAATTTTTCACTACCAACAATATACGTTCCACTTAAATTCGCATAATATTTCAATGTCACAAGATTATATCCCCTAAGCTTTTAGACCTGCATCTTAGCTGTCTATTGTTAACTATCTGTATACCTTCAGGTCTGGAACCGTTGGTACTTATCCCTCGTATGATACTGGTTTGCAACCCAAGTATGCAATTCTGACTTTTTGTTTAAATGGTGTTGACCATGGCCACACTACCCGTAGTATACTAAGCATTAAGCAAATAAGTTATAAGTCTGTTATAAGCAAGGAGGCTCAACTTAGGATCGTTGCTTTCAAGATGCCATCCGACATTATGCGCCTAACCAAATCGTGGATCTGCCACGAGCCTTCTCTCTCACCGGTACATCTCATCAACCAATACTTTTATCTTCTCTTCCATGGTCGAACTCCAAACCCGCGAAAAATTTGGGCAACCAGTGCGATGCCGATAATGATCCATTTGCTTAATTAAACAGTTTTCTTCGCAGCCGGCTGCGCTCCATGAAATCTTATCGTCAGACTTAATTTCTTTCTACCAGTATCCCCTGCTTTTCGTGTCTCTTAATTATCACGACTATTACTACATCGTTACCTCATTCGAAGCATTTTTCTTCTAGTATTTGATGTGCGATGTATGTGTCGATCGTTGCGTCGCCTATTCCTTAGTTCCCGTAGGTCGTCACTGATGAACACTCTAAAACTTTCCTCTTCTCCTTTTATAGATGACCTTAGTTTCTATCATCCAGATCGAATATCTATGTTTAGTGGACGCCTCTTTTAGGCTAGATCGTACTTAAAACACTTCCTGTACGATCTGAACGTCCCCACATTCGATAGAAACTTCTGCTTTGCATCTTTTATCCTTTTACAGAAAAG